TGGATACTGTCCCTGGAATGGCTGCTGTGGCAACAGGTCAAAATGACCATACTAAACCGGGTGAATTACTCTCTTTAGTTAACCACATGTCCTTGAATGACTCTACCACTACCTCAGGTAACACTAGCATGGTTTTTTGTGCATCTGTGGCTCATGATACAAGCTAGATCATTGACTCGGGTGCCACAGACCATATGACTTATGACAAAACTCTATTTCAACACATGACTTATCCCTCCAAGAATAGTGTCATGACAGCCAATGGAGAGCCTCTTCCAGTAATTGGAGCAGGATCTATAGCCCTTAACCCCACTCTTTCACTACATAATTGTTTACTTGTTCCTGCACTATCAAATCATTTATTATCAGTTAGTCAGATTACGGAACAGTTAGATTGTGTTGTATTAATGTTTCCCACTTTTTGCCTACTTCAGGATATCCAAACTCAGGCGATTATTGGGCGTGGTACTAAGAGGAGGGGGCTATACTATGTAGATGATGTTGCTTCAGGTCATGTTCATCAAGTTCAGAGCCAGACTGATAATAATTTAAAGAATATCTGGTTGTGGCATCATCGACTTGGACACGCCTCCTTTGGTTATTTAAAAAAATTATTCCCATCTTTATTTGGTGATGTTTCAGAATCTTCTCTTAAGTGTAATATTTGCATTTTGGCTAAGAGCCATCGTGCTTCATACACTTCAAGTATTAATAAAAGAATAGCTCCATTTGAATTGATCCATTCTGATGTTTGGGGACCTGCACCAATTACTACTCAATCTGGAATTCGGTGGTTTATTACCTTTGTAGAGGATTGCACCAGAATGACTTGGCTATATACTATGCGACACAAGAGTGATGTGCGGAATATATTCCTAATTTTTTGTCAAATGGTTCGCACCCAGTACTCTCTTTCAATTAAAGTCATTCGATCAGACAATGGTGGAGAATACCTTAACTCTGAACTCTCCAACTTTTTTCAAAACAATGGTATTCTCCATGAGACTACCTGCCCACGTACTCCACAACAAAATGGTGTTGCAGAGCGTAAAAACAGGCATATACTTGAAACCACTAGAGCTCTTCTTATTGGTGCTAGTGTTCCTCAAAATTATTAGGCTGATGCTGTGACCTATGCAGTTTATCTCATGAACCGGATGCCATCACGAGTCCTCTCGTTTCGCACTCCCCTACATGTATTTACTCAACATGTTCAGACTCCATCCTTGCTACACTTA